GGTGCAGAAGGTCAAAGGCATTTTGATGCACTGCGTTTGTACGAAAACACATCTTTGTCCGACAGTCTTAATGCACTCGATTGCCTTTGGGGGCCGCGGCAGCATGTCTTCACGGCACGCCTGAGTTTCTCCCAGTCACGACAGGGAGAAGAAGGTGTTAATGAATTCATCAGCCGTATACAACAATCCCTTCAAGACTGCCGTTAGAATGAAATTCCACCCACGAAGTTTGAAGAGACAATGGCCATCCAGTGTCTGTTGTTTGGTATCCGGGACGATAAAGCCAGGGAACGTCTTCTTTTGGAAGACGAGAACAAACTTAATTGGGAGACAGCATGTGCGCTGATCAGACAACGCGAGAACGGTGCAACAATTGTTTCACTATCGGAACTATTCTCTTCCAGACGCAGTTCACGCTGTTAAATCGCGTCCTCAATTAACCGTTAAACGCTACTTGGTACCGATGCGGTGAAAGGCATGAAATGCTACTGACTGTAAACACAAGCAATCTACCTGTCACAAATGCGGCAAAGTTGGACATCTTGCACGCGTATGCCGTTCGACGGTTTACCAACGATCGGTACCTCACCCTGCACAAAATGCTGTTCGTTCAGTGGAAAACTCTGACGAGTCCATATCGTATTTAATATCACACACTACCACATCTCATATCATGGGGATACCCCATATACTGTGGAGTTGGACATAGAGGGCCAGCCAGTGCGCTTGGAAATCGACACCGGGGCATCAGTCACCTTGATCAACAAGCGAACATTGCCTGATCTGGTTCTGACACCGACTCAGTCTACGTTACGTTCTTACACGGGAGAAGCGCTCGATGTATTGGGTGTGTGATGTGAGGGTAAATCATGGAAGCGATACGTTGACTCTTCCCTTAATCGTGGTTAACACCGACGGCCCGAACCTGCTTGGGAGGAATTGGTTGAAACACATGCCGGAAATACTTCGAAATGTCAAAAAGGTGGACCGCATTCCCGATTTGCCCACACTTTTGTAAGCTTTTGCTAATGTTTTGATGTAAATCTGCCCGGGAAATTACGTGATTCCCAACTGGTTTCAACATCATGCCAGGTACGCAACCGAAATTTTGCAACGCACGAAGCTTGCCTTTTGCGATCCGTCCGAGGGTAGAGTCGGAGCTGGAGCGCCTTCAAAAAGAGGGAATAATCTTCCCTGTACGCCACTCATCCTGGGCTGCACCGATCGTTCCGATACAAAAGCCAGATGGCTCGATTCGCATTTGTGGTGACTACAAACTGACGGTTAATCAAGCGACGACTACGGAACACTATTTTATTCCACGAATAGATGACCTCTATGCAACCTTGTCGGGTGGACAAAAGTTCTCCAAACTTGATCTGAGCTTATTCTCAAGTGGAGCTTCATGAATCTGCTAAGGAAGTTACGACTATCAATACACACTTGGGGTTGTTTCACTATAACCGGTTACCGTTCGGAATACACTCTGCGCCGGCGATTTTTCAGAGGATTGTAGACAATTTAGTGGAAGGTATACCTGGAGTGTGTGCTTACTTGGACGATATCTTGGTTACTGGCAGTACGGATTACGAGCATCTGACGGCACTCATTACTGTTTTGGAGCGTCTCCAAGAGAGCGGACTTAAGCTCAAAGAATCCAAGTGTCTTTTTCTCCGATAGCGTTGAGTACCTGGGGTTTCGTTTGGACAGACATGGGTTACATTCATTACGGGAGAAAATTCAACCCATTCTCGATTCGCCGACACCGCGTAACATTTCCGAATTGCAATCATTTCTCGGGATGGTGACTCCTTTCAGTCATTATCGCCAAACCTAGCAATTACCCTTGCATGCATTGCTGCGTAAGAGAATACCCGATGGCTATGGTCACCAGAACAACAAAATGCTTATGCTGCTGTTAAGCTGGCTATAAGTAAGAGTAATTTGCTGGTACATTTTGACCCAAATAGGCCGATTACTCTCCGGTGCGACGCATCACCCACAGGGCTCGGAGCCGTGCTATCTCACAAAATGGAAGACATGACCGAACGACCCATAGCTTTTGCATCCAGGAGCTTGGCACCAGCGGAGAGGAATTACGCCCAGCTAGACAAGGAAGCCTTAGCAGTTATCTTTGGGGTCAAGAAATTTCACCAATACCTTTGGGGAAGAAAGTTTGTAATTTTTACAGATCACAAATCGTTATTAACGTTGATCGGTGAGCAAAAGGGCATCAACCAGATGGCGTCCCTCCGTATGAAACGTTGGGCCTTACTGCTTTCGGCCTACAACTACAATATCATACGTTCCTGGGAAAGCGAATGGAGTCGCCGACGCTCTGAGCCGCTTACCGTTAAGTCAGTTACCCGACTGCGTACTGAAACCCGCTGAACTGGTTAATTTGCTTCAGCATTTAGAGGGAAATCCGGTGCTAAGCGCAGATATCTGTCATGAAACCGAATGAGACTTACTACTTGACAAGGTCAAGCGTTTAGTATCCCAGGGATGGCCTGATAAATGTGAGCCGCAACTGCTACCATACTTTACTCGTCGTTCCGAGCTTATTCTTGAAGATGGATGTCTACTCTGGGAATCCAGAGCGATCATACCACCCCGATTATGTCCAGACATTCTACAAGAGCTGCACGAAACTCACCCTGGAATAACGAGGATGAAAGGACTTGCACGATCCTATATGTGTGATGGCCCATTATCGACAAAGACATTGAATCGTTAATCCGACACTGCGACACTTGTCAGTGCACACAAAGAAGCGCCCCTACTATACCACTCAGCCCATGAAAATGGCCCAGTAAACCATGGGAGCGCGTACATGCTGACTTCTTCGGCCCACTCGACGGGAAGGTGTTTCTTCTCTTGATCGACGCTTACACGAAATGGATCGAAGTTTTCCCGCTAACACGAGCCACGTCAGAGACTACGATTTTATGCATGCGAAGGTGCTTTACAACCTTCGGTATACCGCACACGTTGGTGACAGACAATGGCTCGGTGTTTACTAGTCAGGAATTTCAGGAGTTTCTGAAAAATAACGACATACGTCATGTGAAGTCGGCCCCTTATCAGCCAGCTTCTAATGGCTTGGCTGAAAGGGCGGTCCAAACGGTCAAGAACGGGCTTCGAAAACAAGTGCCGGTTTCATTGCGAACAAGCTTAGACAAATTCCTTTTTGGTTATCGCTCCTCACCGAACGAAACGACTTGTAAGAGCCCGGTGAACTAATGTTCGGGCGTAGATTAAGGCCACGGGTAGACTTGCTGTTCCCAGATCAGAGGCTACATATCGAGGCCAAACAAAGTAAATCGAAGGCCAAGTATGCTCGGAAGGCGGTCAATCGACAACTCTGTGAGAACGAACCGGTTTATATCAAATTGCCTAACGAAACGAACTGGCAGCCTGGAGATCTGCGCGAAGTTACGGGACAAAATACGGAAGTGGCTCTACCAGACGGCAGGGTAGTCATTCGGCACAAGGACCATGTCCGTCCCCGCTCTGTCTCGGTTCCGCCAGCCGACACATCGACAAGCCCAGTCACTGAGCTGTAAGACGTGCAGGAAGACATGCGGAGACTCCGCAGTGTCGACGGTCAGGCCATGTACGCCACCAGTTGGTCGATACCAGGCCAACTAAGGTAGTTCCAACTAAAGGGAGGAGAAATGTGGCATCTGCGCATGTGTCAGTCCAACGCCAAGCCAGTCATCGATTAAACTTACTATTGGTTACATCCACCAGCGTCAGTGTGTGTTTGTCCGTTAACGCTAGCCAATCATTGATTAGGCTGTCTGAACTTGTGCGAAGCGTTGTGTTTGTGGCCACACAATACATTCTGTGTATTGCTGTAACTGACGTGTTCTACTTTCGTGTGCTACGGGCCGAATACTTTGTTCCACTGAGTGTCGTGGTTCAATACGGGCCAAGTTGTAACAGGCTCCCAGACCTAGACAGGAGGACGATTAGAGTCCTCAGCCTGTCCGCATGGCAGCTGGGAGGTGACAATGATTTAGTTTTACAGAAATGTTTGCCATCGTATTTCAGGCCCCCAACCTGGAGGACCTGGAGACTGAGTTTGTCTGACCTCTAACCATTGACCAACCTGGCAGAAGTAGCTCTTAAAGGGGCCGGAGGCACCATCTAGTATAGCTCAATGGGTCAAAGAGGTAGGCTAATCCTCGCACCACATAAAGGTCCAGTCTCGTTGCGATGGTTGTTTCTGGTTTTTATTAAGTTACTACCATATGACTCTTCCGTACAGCATAATCGTATTGCTTTCCACCTTGAGATATAAAACACATTCCTCAATTTCTTGATGGGCACCCAATTCTCCGTAGAGACATGTTCGTGAGTGTTTGTCAGGTCAATTGTATGAATGAATCGGGATCCACGTAAAGACTCCAGACTGGGTCATTCTGGAGTGCGGACGTGTCAGAAAATCGTTTGAATCAAATGAACATGATTATCCTTTGGATTTTTCGCACTCGGAAACTCTATTTCTTAGAAGAAGCCGTTGATGGTATTATCTTCGGTTCCGGGCAATTAAATGAGCAAGCAACGTATCAAATTGACAGGTACTAGGATTCTGGTTCCTAGACGGCTATTTCCACTGAAACACTTACTGTCTTTGTTCGTCATGGGAACCTTTTGCTTTCTGTAATTTGTTCGGTTTCTTAACCAGTTGCATAGTGTGATCCTAACGAAAGTGTCAACGCTATCTGTCTGCACCACCCGATTTGGTGCAGCCTCAGCTTGTGCGATGGCGTTTGTTGGATCCAAAGACGCCACTGTCTTCCAGTGTGCGTGTATCTTATACTCTTCAACACTTAATTTCACGGTTGTCATTTACTTAGGTGATATGGTGAAACGCGCGTCCTGCATTGGCAAAATTGCTGGTTTGCTCTCTGCCCCTTTCATGTGACTGATCCCACTTCCTCCACACATCACATTTTTCACTTCTTTCGCTTCTCTTGCCAACTCTATTTCAGTTAGAATCGAGACCACAAGTGCCACAGGCTTCCCTGATCCAATCATTTGACGTATGTGCCTCAAATAACGCAGACCTGCTGAATTTGGATGATCCACTCGACTCTTCGTCCGTCTGGCCAACAGGAAATGGACCAACTCTCCCTTCTGTTTTATCCCCACCCTCGTTAAGCTTAGGTGCGGGTCTTGGTCCCCACAAAAGCACATCTGTCTCTGTGGAGTCCAATGGCGGGTAATTTTTATTTCCACTCTTCTTAAACGTGTACTTGAACTTTCAGCTAGCATGCTTTAGTACCCGTTTTCTAGGTATATCCACCTTCATCACAGCTGCGAAATATTTTCAGCCTATCGAGACTTGTTCCAATTTCTCTGGTGATCAGTAATGTCGTTGCTGTTATTTTCATTCAGTGTGTTGGATGCGGACTTTGGAGATTTTGTGTCTGCCGATGGACAAATGGCTCGCCCAACAGCATCTGCATCACTTGGTTTGATAGATTTCTCCTCTGTGCCACCCGTTCCGTCAGCAACTCCTAGTGACGCAACCTGGCCTGGAGTGGCGGCCACTTCCTCAAACAGCCAAGCTCCTGTGTCATCTATTGCGGTTGGTTCTTCTTGTTTTAAGCATTACTTACATCTGCTTATGCAATTGTTTTTTTTCCGACACTACACAGACTTCGCTGGAACTTGTTCGCATCGTTTCGGTTTAGTGCCTAAAACTGCCGTAGTATGATATTCTCTCCTGCCGGTCCAGATCATCCTTGTTTGAGATCACTGCGTCTGTTTCCTCCTCATTACCAGACTTGTGATCTGAGATTGTCCATCTGAACCCCACATTGAGTATATGTATGTGTATTTACTAGGACACAGCTCATAACACGTCGAGTCCCCTTTACCAGAGACTTTTTAAACTGATTTTTAGGCGTTATGACCTTGCCAACCGTCACTGGTCGTCTCATTAGCCTCTTCAATTCGTCACTCACTTGCCAATGGATAATGCTCTATTCGTTTACAAGTGGCTTGGCACTTTTCCCATTTATGTCTCGGTCGATGGCCGAATGATTAGACGCTCGCCTAGTAATCCGTAGGTTACCGGTTCGAATCCGCCTAGGTTTGGGCGGCCTAGCCGTATACTCAGGCCACGAGCGACTGTTGGTTGTCGCGTGGTAGCGAAGCGATGGTACTATGTACCTTCACCTCGTTGCTCCCTCACCTTTCATATTTATTTCATTTTACTCATTCACGCATTCTCCTGTTTAGGTAACCTTGTTAAGCCTTTCACGGTTACTACAGACTCTGTTGGCCACACCACAGGCTTCGTGTCAAATTTGAGTGCTCATGGTCTTCAGCTTCTGTTGCTGAAGCTGGTTCTGTTCTTCTTCTATCTATATAAGAACGTATCAGCCTCACAATGAAATGAATATTTACGTTTTCTACACATCACCGTTTCTCATGGTTGTCGCACGTTTTATAGTATGATCACTTAGCTGTTTCGTTGGAAGTGAAAGGATGCTAATTTTGCCGGAATCACAAATTGGAGTGAGAATTTTTTGCGTTATGTAGCCCGGCTGAACTTTTACTGTTGAAGTCTCGTTGCACACACGTTTATCCGGATATTTTTTCTTGTTCTGGTATGACCACCCTGAGGCATAACTAGGCCGAGACAGAGGCGTCCAGACACAAGCGAATGCAGTTCGACTGTGTGATTTTTTCGCCTGCCAGATCATTCTGACCATATGTGACATGTATAATTACCGCCCCCCATTGGAATGCTCACTCATTTATATTTGGCGATTTATCGTTATGCCACAGTCGAATATTCGGCGCGCGGGCTTTTGCTCTAGCTTTATATGACGCTGGACCCTACCTGCATCACTTTGCCCCACTGGGTCTGTGTGGACTCATCCTAATACATTGGTGCTCGCTGTTGTTTGGATGGGACAGCAAATCGAGTCTTACTTTTTGCCTATTCCGAATACCATAGATTCAAGTGCATGTGATGGCATTTCCATGTCCGTTTTCTCTGACGTTCCATTCAGCGCAACGCGGGGCCATCTGTAGCCAATTTGTCTTCTCCCGCCGTTGAACCGAATCCCAAGGCGCGAACGAACCCGGTAATAGGAAGCACATGGAAGGAACTAGACTCTCTTGGCATCAACCTTGATACCCTGGCAATGCCAAGCAAAGTAAACTCACGTCAGACGACTGGCCCTAGTCTACGCCAACTTCAATACGCAGGCAAACCGGATTCCCCGGGCGCCTCTCCATTCTTCTCTGCCTATCAGACTGGTCAACAGTCGGTTCCTAACCATTGGCAATCAGGTAACACCCTCTATCCTTTTGGTCATCTTATTTCCTTTCATCTGATTCTGCCCCGTCGTCTTGTCATTTCTTCCTCGCCCATTCACAGGGAAGATAATAAATGCCTGACTGCGTTTAACCACCAGAGCTCGCGGAGTATTGCTCTCGGCTGGTGGGAACACCGGTTGAAAAATACTGAGGTCCCGCAATTGGTTTTAGACAAGAAGTCTTCTGATGCCTCACTTGAATATTTGCTATTTTAACCGCTTACGTTGGCTAGATCATGTCTTCCGTATGCCCGTTGACCGGCTTCATCACTGAACAAACTTCGGCGAAACCGCGAAGTTGCCAGTCGATGATGTGACACAAAGGCATGACGAAACCGACTGAGAGACTTGGTCAAGCTGGTGCGTGCCGGTTTCCTGGATGAGGGGTCCCCGGATGGTCCAGTGTTCAACGATCCTACTACACATCACGCAGTCATTGGCGTTAATTTATATGGTTTCTTGCATCTAGCTGTTAATTTTGATTTCTTCCAGCTTATATTATCGCACTTTTATGTTGATTCCATTTTCATTGTATAATATTTGCGTTCAATCTCGTATCCTTACCGTTGTTATTTACCGTTGTTTTGGCGTTGTGAGTCGTGGTAACGAGATCCACCACACTGTGGTACCCGGATTATAGCTGTTCAACTGAACTGAACCCTCATTTCATCCGTTTGCAATTCATTTAGATTCTATTGACGCGTTAGTGGTTTTCATTGTTTGATCGTTCAGCCATCCGCTTACGTAACCATTGTGTCTCAGCGACGCCCTCTACTCTTTGGTATGCAAAGTATCCATTTATTGCCATAGCCGTTCACGCCCTGCATGTCGCATTGCGATCAATCATTTTGCATCTTTTGTCTGTCGTACTATCACACCGACCTTCAGCTGGCACAAAGCTCGTCTACCGGTCCGTAGCCTAGAGGTAATGAGCTTATCTCGTAATCTTGCGGTGCGAGTTCGAGCCTGCGTAGGGGCAGGGCGACCCTCGCAGTATCCTTAGCCCACTTGTGACCGGTGGTGGTTGCGTGGCAGCGAAACGTCGATACTGCGTACTGGCGTACTGCTGATGCCTTTTCTAGCCATTGTAAGACCACGACCGTACTCGAATGACCTGCACAGCGACGCAGGACGATGCAGCGTGCGCTCAAACTTTTTTTTAAGTGAACTCGGTTATGCGAATTCTTATATGTAGCGAACACCATAAGTTTTCTGCTCCTGTTCGTTGCGCTGTTTTTCTGTTGTCTTCCCTCTATTGACTTTGTTGGTTCCCTGTGATAGTTCTATCACAAATTGCCAACATCCACAGACCGCTGACTGTGAATTGGTTCATGTGGTTCTATGATGAATCTCACAAAATTGCGACATACAGTTTTGACATTTTCACTCAATGGACCACGTCTCATGCACTCATGTTTATTTCTATTATGTTAAGCTGACGGTTCGATGCGCCACAGCTGCGGATAGGCTAATCGGTTTACAGGAACTACCAACACATGTAGTGAACGCATCATGCCTCGCGACATTCGAGAGACTTCTATACTCACCTTAGTGCTAAACGCTACACAACAATGAGATAAATTGCGATGTCTTTACTACTGATGATTCACGTTCCACATTGGAACATTTTTGCTATTAATTTCCTTGTGCGTTTACCATCCAGTGGGTCTTGTAAAGTTATACTTTTTTATCCCATCATATACTATTGAACTATTAACGTCCATTGGTGGATGAACAAGGGATTCAGCTCTCTTTCTCCACGCGTAGCATTCTGTCAATCGTGTTCTGCTGGCAGTCCACTTAATCAAAACCAGGCTTCATCGCCTTGCAAAGCGTCACCCCATTTGGATACGATAATTAGGGTTCTCGCGACAACTCCCGTAGTTAACTTACCGGATGGCTGTTGCACCCTGGTTGTCACTTCTGGTGTGTTATCTGAAGTCGCTTTAATCGCATTGTCCGACAAGCAGTTATCTATCCAACAACCGAATTACACGCGCATGCTTCTCTTGTTGGTCAACTATTTCCTACGATTCACATCTATTTTCCGCATGTCATCGTCTTTATCAAATTTTCGGCTAAACCCCAATGTCGATTGCGATGTCTTGCTAACCACACTTTTCTGCGCGCCTTGTTTGATTTATGTGGTTAGTTTTCGCATCTGGATCACTTGAACGCCAATCCGACGCTTAACGGTCAATGTGTCCTTTTAGTTGGTTAGCCTGAAATTCTGGCAGTCCTGATGTAGCTTCTTGTCCGATCTCCTCTGTTGTGTTAATGTTGCGACTTGCGTTCTCAGGTGAGCCACTAACCGCTACTGGCTTTCAAGAGTGGGTCTCTTTTTCGGACAGTTGCTTCGTTCACCAAAGGCATCTACGAAACAAGAAACCATCCACCTTTTCGAAAGGTTTTCATTATTTTGCCACGCACATCTCAAAACAAATGATACTTTTCTGTCGTCTGCTCAGTGAGGCACCGTTGAATTCATTTAAGTTGGGCAACAATGATCTAAACACCAAAGTTTGGTGAACCCAATTACCACGATTCACGTCGCCATAATATGAATCGTTCGGAAAAGGAGGTTGAATATAATTAGAATACAATTAAATCGGAACCAACATGGAAGTACGTTAATCGAATCAGGATGGAATGAAAATCAACAGGTCTGACGAGGAATTCATCGAAAACAATTGTTTACCTTTGGTCCCTTGTTCTTGATGACTAAATGCAAGAAACCGAATACAAGAGCTTTCTTGATTTCGCGACTACGCAATGTGTGGTGGAGTGTCCAACCACTGTTATGGACAATCCCGGGGCCTCCATCCAGGAAGTCGGTATGCATCAGTTTAACCAAGTCTCTCGGTCGATTTCATCATTCCTTTATCCCACATCTCCAACTTGCAACTTCGCGGTTTCGCCAAACTTTGTTCGGCGGCGGCGTATTATGCACGCCGAGGAAACCGGCCAATGGGCATAATGAAAATATGACCTAGCTAACGTAAGCGGTTACGTTACAGCAAACATTCGACTGAGGCACCAGACAGCTTAGTGCCGGAAACCAATTGCTGGGCCTCAGCATTTCTCAACCGGTGTTCGCACTAGGTGTGGACTATGCTTCGCGAACACCGGTGGTCAAACACACCCAAGCGTTTAATGTCTTCGCCGCGAACTGGTCAGGTCTCTGATTTATACAGTAACAGTGAAGCATAGTCGCATAGCTCATTGTGGGTTCACCGCGCTTCGTCGGTCGATCTGTGTAAACAAATACTGCTGCTGAACTGACCTCTTACTTCTGATTGGTAGCCAGTTTTGGCGCCTGTTGGCTCGTTTTAACTGCCGCTAAGTGCCTGCTTTAGCAGACTTAAGCCGCAAAGTGCTGTTCATCGAAGTGACAACCCAGATTTCACTGGACTATTGCTTTTTCTTACTAGAGAAGTCCGATGTTTTTCCTCCGTATAATACAGCCTAATCCAGTTAACTTCGATCGTGGCACTGAACTGCCATCGCAACGAGGCTGGACCTTACCGTGGTGCGCTGGTTTGTGTGCCTCAGTGATCATCTATCGAGCTATGCTGGGCAGTGCATTTTGGCACCTTCAGATCCACTCATACCAGGTTGGTCAATGGTTAGAGGCCACACAAACTCAGCCTCCAGGTTAGGGGTTGGAATGAGAATGGCTCCTTATTCCTTAAAACGGACTCTTTGTAGTCCAACACCAAACTCGCTGCCTTGCGGTCAGGTTTTTGAACCAAAGACTTTGGTTGAGAACCCTAATCGTTCTCCTGTCTAGGCCTGGGAAACTTGACAGTATCTTGCCCACGCAATACCATGAATCTTACCTCAAACAGTTTCTTGATGCTCTGGCCACCGCAAAGGATAATCAACGGTACCCTATCTGTTGCATCGAGCAGGGTGGATAGGGGTTTGGATGCTACTGCTCAAGCCTTCCCGTCTTCTTATCCCCCCTCTTACGCTTTTTCACCCTTACCGTCCCGTTCCAACTTCACTTTTGTCTCCTTAGTTTTTAACCCCCCGATTCTTGGCACCCCCAACATGCTCTCCTAGGCGTTTATCTTTTAGTTTCAACTCACATGCACACGCGGAGCGTCACTCCTCTTGTGTCGGCAAGCCCATGTCCAACCAAGCAGTACATTCCAGTTCATCGACTTCCATTTGGAGCCCTCGATCATCCTTCACATTGGCATGCCTCGATGTACGCACATTACTACAGATCGGTCAACAGGCAGCACTTGCCCGAACATCAGAGACCCTCACGATCGATATCTGCTGCGTATCGTAGACCCGCCTGCAAGACCCGAGCTCTGTGCTCACTCTGCGATCCCCCTCAGGTGACACCAGCAGTATTTTCTCATTGCGCCTATCCGGTGAGGATGCAGCTTCAAGCACCGGCCAATCCGGTGTTGGTATTGCCCTGATTCCCCGGGCTGAAGCTGCTCTGGTTGATTGGATCCCAGTCAGTAGCCGGATGTGTGCGGTCCGATTGGCTGGATCGTTCAAAGCTTCGAAGTCGCACGGGACTAATAGGTGTCTATTCATCATCGCTACATACACGCCCAGAAACTGTCTCGATGATGTTGTAAAAAACAACTTCTACCGCCAACTTACCGATCTTCTTCGCCACAGAAGATGCACGGATAACTTGTGCTGGCGGGGTATCTGAACACTCAAGTTGGAAAGTTGTCCACTGGTGAAATACATCTAGGCGGTCAGCACGGTGTGGGCTCCCATAATGATAACGGTGTGTGGTTACTTCGATCAAAATGGAATCAGTTACCGCTGGAGAGGTTGCATCCGGAACTGTCGCTCGATTTGGAGCACATGTGTAGACAACGATTATGCACTTGTATGTGCTGGCATGCGGATGCCTTTTGGCGGACGCCCACGACGACGCTGTCAGCGCATTGACACCAGCCAACTGACAAAGCCAGCTGTTCTGAATGCCTATCAAAGTACGCTGAGCTGCGAGTTGAGTAAGCGCTCACTGGAGACAATTGAAGATCACTGGTCGCATGTTCACCAGACCTTACTAGCAGCAAGCAAATCCTCATGTGGTAAGTCTACTACCCAATATGGGTATTAAGTCTCTTCGCGCTCTCTGGAACTCATCGATGCTGGTCGGTATATTCCGGCTGGAAGCGAGCACAATGAAACTCGCAAAGAGCTCCGTGCAAAACTCCGTGCTGTCCTGAAGAGAGACCGCGAATCCTGGTGGTCTCTTCGTGCATCTGAGATGGAAGTAGCCGCTGCCTATTTTAACCATCGAAAGTTCTTCCGTCTGGTATGGAAAACGGGCAGCAGGAGACCTGATGGTAGTGAAACAATTTGTGACAAGAGTGGACAGCCTATCCACAACTTCTCAAAACGTTTGGAGCGTTAGTCTGAGCATTTTGTAAAGCAATGTAATCTGCCGGAATTGTTCGATTCCTCACAGGCCAGCGATCGCCCTGCTCCGTGGACTGTCCCTTTGGATCCACCCTCTCGCTCAGAAGTCGAACGTGAGATCGGACTGTTGATGTTGAACAAAGCCGCGGGACCAGATGATCATTCCCCAGCCCTCTTCAAATTCGGAGGCTCTGCTCTTGTTGATGCTTTACATGAATTACTAATGAAACTGTGGGAGCAGGAGACTGTCACAACCGACTGGAGCCGCTCCGTTATTGTTCCCATCTTCAAAGGAGGCTCGCGTTCGGAATGCGGCAACCATAGAGGAATCAGTCTGATCCCCATCGCCTCCAAATTACTCGCCTCCATAATCCTTCACAAACTGACTGGCGCTAATGAAAGCCATATTCGTGAACAGCAAGCTGGATTTCGTCGAGGTCGTGGCTGCATCGACCACATCTTCACCTTGCGTCAGTTGTTGGAGCACCGTCACACATATTGGCGGCCCACCGTAGTCGTGTTCCTCGACATCAAAGGTGCCTTCGATTCGGTTGATCGATGTGCCCTTTGGAATTGTCTACTCAGGAAAGGTGTACCTGATAAATATGTGAATATTATCTGAGCATTGTATGCGCGTAGCTCGGGCAGAGTGAGGGGTTACGACAAGCTGTCGTGGCCCTTCGATATCTCCAGCGGTGTGAGACACGGATGCTCGTTGTTACCTTTCCTCTTCAACTTCGCTATTGACGAAGTCATGGAGATTGCATTTACGGGATGCGACTTAGAAGGTGTGGAGCTACTCCCAGGAGAACGACTTCTTGACGTGGAGTGCGCAGACGACATTGCTCTCATCTGTGACAGCTCCCAAACGGGCCATGCTGCACTGAATAGATTAGCACTGGCTGTCAGTCGCTTCTGGTTTTGCTTTGCACCATCGAAGTACAAAGCGTTCCTCCAAGATTGGCAGGGATCGCCTCATTTCCTGACCTTGCTGGGGATCAGCTAGAAGTTATTCAGAAATTCAACTACCTGGGAAGTTGTATCAGTGCCCTTGGGATCAAAGATGAGATCGCTTACCGTATAGCAAAAGCTCGAAGTGCTTTGCTAGTCTTCGCCACCTATGCCGGAGGCGCGACATCATCTTGCCCTGAAGGGTAGAGTGTGCAATGCAGCGGTACGTTCGACCTTACTTTACGGTTGCGAAACCTGGCCCCTAAGATCAGCGGACATAAAGAGGCTAGTTACGTTCGAACATCGGTACCTTCGCAGTTTGGCTCACATCTGTTGGGAACACCGCGTGAGTAACGAACGTGTTCCACGCCTTGTGTATGGCGCAGGAAAAGGAACGGAAGCGCTCAGCACCGTTATTTCCCGCACCAGGCTCCGATGACTGGGCAACGTGTTGCGCATGTCAGCCCACCGACTCCCGCGACGTGCGTTTGCTCATCTGGGTTGTGGATGGAAGAAGCGCTGGCCAAGCGATGACTTGGTCGAGAGGAATAAAGGCCCTCATTTCTTAGCTGGCCACGGTTGGAGCGTCTCGGCTCCCTGGTTGCGTTCCAAATGACGATGAACACTTGCCGACTTCAGTGGCGTTCCTGCTGTGAGTTTCTTTGTCCCACCCTTTTAGCCTCCCTCTCCAACCACGATCTCATTTCGTAGCGTAATATAATTTTTCATAATATTTTTTCTTGTTGCCTAGTAGCCGGCTGGTAGCTTACCGGAACGATGCCCATCCGTTGCTGGTAGCTCCGCTGATATACAACTGTTA